GGGGGGTGAGGGGGGGGAGAACAACAAAGATCCCCCAAACAGTTTTTTCAGACATCAAGTTCAAAGCAAAAATTGTGCTAGCTCTAACTTGCATTCCCTCATGTGTTTTCAAAACTCCAGCTTGTTGTCCCTATAGTTAAAGTTTTCTACACTGCTAATTGATTTCTGACTGGTTTGAAGTGAATCTCAAACCTCTGTGCTAGAAGAAAAGAATTGCAATAACATTCTTCATGAGCTTATCCAGAATGGATTTAGTTCTGTTCTGTACTGTAGCCTCAAAGTTTTGTAAGTGTCAATTCTTATTTGTTCATGTTTTTATTTCATGCAATATTAATTTTTAATTAAATCAGTAAAGAATGCAATATATTTTAAATGTAAGGAGGAAAGAGGATAACTGGATTCTTACATTGCTATCTAAACAGTATCTCTCAGGAAACCCATGCACAATATATTGATGTAAGCTTGTATCAGTACACACATACAGAATAAAGGCAGAATAATCAGCACTATTGACGTCTATTAACAACTATTAACACTACATAACAATTTAAATTGATAAAGGGGGTTCAATTTTAAAGTGCAAATATGCAACTTGGAACCTGTTCAGGGTACTGAGAAGGACAACCCATACTCTCATGAAAATGTTTTTGCATTTTTAGTAAAAATAACTGAGCTTTATAATTTGTCTGATAAGGAGTGAAACAGGACATCCTGACAGTATTGTGAAGTCAGACTCTTCACCAAATCAGCAAAAATAGGTCCACTGACTGGATGATATTTACTGTGGGTCTTGGTCTTTTCTTACGCATCTTTTTCAGAACCTTGCCGAGGCTCTAGATTTGCTTGATGATAGGAAAGAAGGTCATGCTCTTACTCTGTTTTTGTAGATTTCTTATTGCTATTTTGAATACTAATTAGGTAAGTTTGTAGTTTCATGCACCCTTTTCCAAAGTGTGGGAACGATTTCAGAATTTGAAAGGAGATTATGGAGTGCACAGGTGTTAGGCAAATTTTTAGAAAAAGACTTTGATACAACTCATCCTTTACTTAATGTCTCTAAGTGGGTTAGAATTGTATTTTCATACCTGACAGTCAAAAGCACGTCTAGCAGTACTATGAAGCTATTTTTAATTCTGCATAAAAAGGTACTTACAGTCATAGTCTGCAGTAACCAGATGAAAAGTGATGGTCAGAAAGCTAGGCCTGTTCTCCCCTTTCAGATTTATAGAGTCAGCAATCAGGCAAACCAGCTGGGAGAAGAAAAGGGAGAAGCATGCTCAAAGTGGAAAGCTGTTGATTGCTAGGTAATTAGGATCACATCAGCATCTTCAGCAGGTGTAAAAAAAGAGATGATCCAAAGGTGGCAATGGAACCCAACATGTGTGGTTTTTATACTGTGCTAAACCAGTCCAAGCTAAAGCCAATGGAAAATTGAAAGCTGTCATTCCAAATTTGCTTGCTTTGGGTTTCAGTCTTCAAATTTCTGATTTACCTCTAATAATAAGTTTTGCCGTTATTGAAGAGATGGACTTTAATTATAACTTTAATAGCACATATTCTTTGGATAACAGTAATTACTGTAAAACAACCAAGTAGTATTTCTGTCTCTCAAAAAGGATTGTTTCAGATATTCCATTATCAACTCCTGAGAAAAAAAACCCCAAACCTGTTCTCAGAAAGCAAGACTCTATAATTAATGCTGCTTGGACATTCTTACATTTTTAAAAATAAAGCATGAGTACTCTGCAAATGTCATTATAATGCTGGCTGTATTTGCTGATTAAATTTTGATCTGGATGGTATATGCTTTGATTTTTTTTTCAGCACAATGCAGGACGACATCTTCATTCTACATGAGCAGGAGTATGATAGTTTGCTTGAATCGGTCTTCAAAACGGAGTTTTTAAGTCTCTTATCAAAACGATATGAAGAGAAAACACAAAGAAAACTACCTCTGAAATTTAGCAATACGTGAGTTATGTTTTTTTCCAATGGGCTTTTACAAATAAATAATCTTTGTTCTTGCTGCCCAGGCAAATGAGTGAGTGCTTGTTGTTGAGGTCCTGACCCTACGCTTTGTTTTAAAATAATGAGGCAACACAGTGTGAGAATCTGTACATGCAAGGAGACCAGACATGCTGATTAGTTCGTCAGAGAAATATGTTAGGATTGTACTTAGGCCACTTTCCACTGTCTGTGTGCTTAGAAGAGTTGCCTTTATTCTCCTGAACATGGCATCAGGCTCAAGGGTCTGTCTGCATCTTGGTGCTACAGAGCAGCTCTGTGCCAGCAGAGTTGTGGCCCCACAGCAAGGGGCCAGTCACTGCACAGTTAACATGCAACCATAGAAGTACAAGCTCTCAATCTCTGTGCAGGCTGCTGTCTCCTATCCTGAGAAGGAAGTATCCTCTTCCAACTCCTTAACCTTGACCTAGGAGTAGAAACGTCATGGTAGAGAGTTTGAAAGACAGTTCTGGAGACATAATGTAACAATCTGAAATTCTGAAGTTTGTTGTGGGGACAGAGGACTGCAAGGTGAGAGGATAATTCTAAAGAAGCCTCATTAAGTAAAGCATACTGAAAACATTTTTTTTAGAAACAATCCTGAAAAGCTACAGAACATTTGATGTGCATTTTAGCTGTAAGGACATGCTAGAAACTATCCCAACAAACATTTTTTTGTCAATACTCCTACCTGTTAAGCAGATTAGCAAAAGCAGGCCTTGGACTTGTATGTTTATTTTATTTCCTTAAAAAAAGTCAAAGAATTATAAAAGGTAACAGGAGATTATTATTTTAGTTTGGAAAGGGTGTAGAAAGTCAGTTGCAGTGTATACTCCTGTACACTGTGAGTCCAAAGCCAGTACCAGGAGTAAATTTTTTGTTCATTTAATGTATTATACTTCCGGGGTCTTGACAAAAATCAAAGCATAACTTCCTTAGCTCATATCTGATTACAGCTCAGAGCTGATGGATAGTGTGGAAATGCTGGGAAGGAATGTATATATATATATATGTGTGTGTGTGTGTCTGTGTGTTTGCACACGCACAGAGAAAAATTTAAATTTGAAAGATTTAAGTGTGTGTACGGAAACAATGTTACTCCCAGAACATGCACAAGCCCCACTCCTAGAGCATATATATATGCCAATGTATATATATTTATATACATATAATGTATATATACATCTAATGGTATATACAGAGGAATGTTTAGGCATGGAGCACTCTACCTTGCTGTAGTAGAGTCTGCTGCAGAGGCAGTGATGTTTGATGGCAGATACATCTCTTACTCAGACCTTTGCCAATTTTTCCTCAAAACTCACTGTACTCTCCATCCTCTACAGGGCATCTCAAAATTCCTTTTAGTAGCTCTACCAAAACAAGTTAAAACATCAGTTAAGAAGAACATTTTAAAAAGCATGAAAAAGAGATTGAATTAAGTGGGTTATGTCAGCCAAGTCACTCAGGGAATACAGATTCTCAGTCTAAGCTTTTTTATTTTTTTTTAATTTCCAAGTTATCTGCTGCCAAGTGATATTGTCCTGATTTGATGTAGAAATAGTTTCTGGTTTTTTATTCATGTGTTCATGGGCTTATATTAGACTTGACGTGAAGCTGAAAAAGGAGAGTTGGGGGCCCTGGAGCAGTGCTGGTTCTCGACAAGTGCAATTTATGCAAGGTCAAGGAGATATAGCCATTCTCAAGCCAAGTAATAAAGTGCTGCAGATCAGCATCGGACCAGGGCTACCGAAGAATTCCCGTAAGTATGAATTTCCTTTAGAAATTAAATTAGTGACTAGCTTAGAAACTTAAGAAAATGGTTGACTCTCTCTCTCTCCTTGCATGCCTCTCACCTCAGCATATTCTTTATTTTTCTGTAATACTTAAGGTACAAGTTGTAGATCCTAATGCTACAGCAGAATTCCCTGCTGCTCTACAGTCGTGCTGGAATTTTGTTACTTCCAGTATACACCAACTGTTTCTGAAATTCTTTGCCTTCCCTGCGGCAAGAGAAATGAGGGCGTTTAATCATGTGACACAGTACAAATGGCACAATTAGCCCAGCATTCTGGGGAAGAGTCAGTCTCTCTGCTCTGAGCTCCTGCAGTTCCTTCAGTCTTGCTGATGAAGAAAGATCTGCATCAGGACAGGACAGGTTGTGATATGAGAAACGGTAACCTCTGTACATCACCAAAGACTGAGCTGCAAGTATACCAGCCTTTCAGGTTTCATGTCCTACCTTTTTCTCACACTAATTACCGATGAGAAACAGTATAGTCAAAAGTACTGCTGTGCCAGCTATCCATGGTTTATAACTAAGTTCATAAAGCTAACGGACTTTGGGGCCTCATTTACTGGATCACAAAATGGAGAACATACCTAAGTCATCCTTGTTGCACCTAAAGCTTTAGCACAACCTGACCAATGCTGTAGGAGTCAAGAGTCATTATTCCTGAAGGTCAGCTCTTTCTGATCACCAAGTAGGGGTTTGGCAGCCAGAAGGACTTAACCCATTAATGTAATTGTGAAAGGGTAACAAAATGTTGCTGGTTTCTTTTAGGTCCTACTAGACGGAACCTTACCCAAAGCAGAGGGTATTCCTACAGGTCTCAAAGTCAGACTTATCCTATGAGAGCTGCACCACCTCCTCCTGGTAAGTCCTCTTAGCCTCAGGCAAAAATGAAATTCCAAGTTCAGACTTGCACTTTACTCTTGTCATCTAGTATTTTTTATCCATTAAGAAATTATAGTAAAGGTTTAAAATCCTCTTTAAAAGATCCTGTCTGGAAAACATACACTGTAGGCATTTTATGAAGTTTATTCTTGGAGTCTGTAGACAACAAAACTCCAGAGATATCTTGATTGTCACAGATGCTAACATGTTCAGTCACTTTGTGTAAGACACTGAATCATTAAACTAACTCCATAGCCTTCTCCACTCTCCTTTCTAGGGTAAAAGCTATACACTTACCAAGCCATAGACAATGCTTTGCTGTGAAACTGCTTTCAGTGCCAATAAACAACAGAATGCAATTTATTGTCCTGCCCTGCTATGTAACAAATTTTGTGTATGCTGGAAGCTGAGACCTATCAGCTGTGCCAGAAGCAGCATGGCTTTTTCTGCAGAGGATTGATGTCATTAGGGTGTTTCACTTCTGGCCTTGAGAGATACGACTAATTTAGCCTGTGAACTCAGAGGGAAGAACAATATTCCATTGACCCAACGTTTCCCAAGGGGGTTTTTTTTTGTTTGGTTTTTTTTTTTTTTTTTTACTTACACTCCCAGAGTATTTTTTTTAAACAAAGGAATCTCTTTCAGTCAGCTGCTGTTTATTGAGAAGCACAATGCTAATGGTATAAGTTGGGTGTGCAACCAGTCTTGGTCACCAAATTAACTATACAGTTCCCAATCCTAGTAAAACCTCATAGCCATATTAATTAAACTAAGACTGCACAATCTGCAAGAACTGCTTGTAGTAAAGTGGGAAATTACTGCAGTTAAAGGACTTAACCCGTCTGCAAGAACGAATAGTAAATATTCATACAGGATGAGTTAAGCAAGGAAGGTCTGTTAATATTTTCAAAAATTCTTTCAGCAGTTTTAAAGTTACATGAAAAAGACAACATTTCTTCAACATTGGTTGAAGAAGCTTTGTGCCTGCAGACCAAGTCCAGACTTGCCTCATGTAGGTAAGGTAGTTTGGCTGTACATTTGCACGCAAGTCAAGTGCACCAGCGAACGCCCAAACCTGCAGTATAGCCTTTTGTAATCATATCTCTCCCAGTGCTTATGACAGCTCCTGAACAGACACATCAACAGAGAGTCCCAGTTAGAAGAGCCTGCCTCTGTGTGCAGCAAGACACTGGGCTTTTTGCACGGGGTTGATGACATCAGGGTATTTCACCTCTGCTCTAGAAAGAAAAAATTAATTTAGCCTATGACCTCCAAGAACAATATTCTATTGACCCACCATTTCCCACGTGTTTAACTGTGGAGTTGAACTAGATGTTCGTGGGCCAGTGAAACAACATTGTTAGTGTCCAGGCAGCAGAAGCATAACTACTGAAGTTAAATGCATTAGGGTAGCATGTTTAAAAGGTGAGTAGAAGTCTGTCATACCGACTTCAGATCAATTACCATAACATGTTTGTGTCTTTTTTTTTCTTAATTCAAATTTTATAAAGTACCAATTAAAGATGGAAAAGTAAGATTGAAGACAGCTGTTACAAAAGAGTTCCACTTAGATTGTCCAGACTTTCAAGGAGTCTGAGGCATTGCATGATTTGGGCAAATTCCTTCTTGTAAGTCACAAACAATTCTCTCGATCCTACTCTCACACTGTGGGCCATCATCCTTGACAATTTGAAATATATTCTGTGATTTTCACATCTGTTTTGAAATTAATGGTCCCGTAGCTGAACAGACTGTTATGTGTACGTTCAGTATAAAACAAACCCTTTTTTATATAAGCATAATGTATGTGCCGTACTAGCTTAGGTCCCAAAGCAAGTTTTATGTATGACTTTATGACTGCTTAAGCTCTGCCACAGTATCAGAAGCAAAGACCAGCTGTTGAATGCAGCAAGGTTTTTCCAAGTGTCATGATTATTAATTCTTCTCTCTACACAGCTATTCATTCTGCTAATTGTGAACAGGCATAATTACAAGGGAAAAAGGAGAGACTCACCCACAGCAATAACTAGTATGATTTTTAATATAAGCATAGCTCCCATTTTTTTCAGTGGGGGTTTTAGGAATGTAAAGCATGTGGAATTGAACTCCTTAGGCCCTGATCCTGCAAGTAGCTCAGACATGGATGGGTTTGTTTTAAATTCAAGTTAGAAGCATAATTACTTAAAGGCATTTACCCTTGTCAACACTTAGAAAATTCAAACTCCTTTTGAGCTATCAATGTAGCAGCAAGGCTTTAAAAAACGAAAAAAAAAAAACCACCACACAAACAACAAAACCCTTGCTTGTTAAAATAGACAAATATTTATAGCAACTTAAAAAACAGCCTACCCAGTATTCAGGGAGTTGTATGGAGTTTGAACTTTAACAGAAAATTCTAGCTCAACTCTTGTCTGGTTAAAAATTATGCAGTGTTTTAAATAGAAGTGTGGTGGTTACAAGCTAACATTAATGAGGTTCAATTCAGCTGGGAGCTACTCCTCCTACATGCTTGTAACATTCAAGGCGCATGTCTCAAACTTGAGCACAAGTCCACAAAGACATGAACCCAAAATGGATCACCAGCAGATCTGAAACTATGTATAAAACACACTTTAAGATTTCAACATTATTTTGTTTTTAAGTTCCTTGATAGCTGAGTCTTGTTGACAGCTGAATCTAACTGACATCTGAGCCATCAATACAAGGAAAAGGTTACCTTTATTGAGCTGTAGCTTGGAGTGGATGTGTTCACACTTTATTTACTTCACTTCTAGGTCAGCAGCAAAATGGAGTAATAAACCCCGCCCAGTTTGTACCATTTCCCCATGTCCCAGGAAATCAACAGGCCAATCAGAAAAACCTGTATACAAACATGACACGACCAGCTTTACCACGGCAACTGTCAAGAGGGTCCGGCAAGATTTCACAGCAACCAGAAAGCTTGGATTTCCTGAAAGTACCTGACCAAGGAGCAGCCGGGTAAGATTTTACATTAAATCTGAGAAAAATGTGTTAGTTTTTGTAAAATAGCTTCACTCACTCAAACTGTTCATGACTGATACATTGCCTACATAGATGAGCAGATTGTGCTGCTGAGCTGTACTCAAAGGTATCATCATCTTCCATAGGATTTCAAAACACATATTCTATCATAGGCCTTTAGGAATGAAGATGAACCCGTTCTAGTTTAATATCTTATATTTGCATGGTACCTTCTACTTAAGGATATTAAGATACTTGGCAGAGTTTAACTAGGCTTTCCTTTTCCTTTACAGTTCATAAACAGTAGGTGTGGTATTTTGGGGCAACTATCATGCCCAGAAATGCTGCCTCATAATGGCCTTTTGTTTCTGCTCTGACTCCTGACTCACACACCAAATTTGTACTTTTTAGGAGGAAGGCTTGGCAGCATGACAGTCAAGATTATTTCAGCATCATTTGGACTTATAAGGTGCAACCTTCCAGAACACATTACTATGACAATCCTACAAGGTTTGGGGGTGGGCTGGTCTTATTGTTGTAACTAGTATTTCCCAAGAGTCAAAAGCATCAAAACAATCACCAGAAGTAACAGAGAGCAGAAAGACAGAATGATGAAGTCAGGGGATTAGTAGAGGGAGGCAGAACAAGTTGTTCTCAACTCTGAAACCAGCTGCTCCAGATCTTGCCTGAAAATCCAGAAGCAGGCAAAACCACTGATTTTTGGAAAATATGAAGACAGATGACTTCTCTCAAATATTTATGGGACCTTAGTGCTCCAGAATGTTCAAGGCCTTAAAAAAATTTCATTTTTTCAATGACTGAACAGTTTCTGCTTTAACTCAGTCCTTATATGCTACTCTGTCAACAGAACATTAGTGGAGCTTTACTATAGTGGAGAATTTCAGTGGCACTTAATTGTCAAAGACTGCTGCCTATTCAGCAACTCTAGGGGAAAAGAAAAAAAAAAAGGAAATAATCTGGTTTTGAAAAATCAGTTTGTGTTTGTCCTTGCTGATGACTTCCTATCTGTGTTATTTAATTCTGATGTAACCAAGTCTCAGAGAAATTGGTATTATTAACAGCTGGCTGTCCAAAAGCATATTAAATCAACAACAAAAGCTACATCAGCAGATAGAATAAAAATGCACTGTGGTAAGGTGTAATAACTTCACAAAGTAATGGTTAGTACAGACACAATTCTATAGTCCCCAGCTCTTCAAATAAACATACATGATAAATACCTCCTTGTTAAGTAGGAAAGCTCTGTGGATGTTGAATAAGCCATCATTCTTACATCTCTGTCCAAATACTGAGGGGGAAAACAGAGGAAATTCAGACTTTTCCTGCCAAGAACTCTATATTTGCAGGTTCTTTTACCAAGAAACAAACCTGCAAATTACAGCTCAGTGTCCTCAGCTTCTCTTTCTCCAAATGGCCTCTCTCTTCCCCTCCCTTCCAACAGATTGTAGTAGCCTCTACAGCCCAGCCTCCAAACAGCCAGCTGGCTGACAGCAGTTAGCTTTATGTTGCACCAGTGCCCTGACCGACTCAATGCACAGTCTGCGCCTTCGCTTACCACAACAGCTAGAGCAACATGTATTCCCTGAAGGTGATGTAAAAGTTTGAAGTAAAACCAGAACCAGAGTAGTAAGAATTTTGTTGAAGGAAATGCCCAAGTATTTCAAAATCTCCCATAATTCCATTTGAATATTGCATTCCTTCACCCTTAGAATACACTGTCCACTGTAGTAACGCAGCAGTGACATCCACATTCAAGGATTTTTGTTGTTGTTCACTAACACTTAAGCAGTCATAATATTTTTTACTCTGACCTGTCAGTTGTGACACAGTCTCCCAGGCCTGAAAGCAAATTATTTTGCAAAATATGGATGACTTTACACTTGGGGTAATCTGGGAGAAATCAAGATTAAGTCAAACTTTCATCAAGTTTCCACCTGAACTTCTGCAGTACATTAACATATTTCTCAGCCCTGGAATATTCTAAGGTATTAGATGGAACAGCTTAGTTCCCTTTCACCAGTGATCCATATGAATGGGGGTTCTTAGAGGCACCAAAAATTTATTTGTTTTTAACCACATCGAGAGCAACTTTTTGTACCAACAGACCCTTTTCAGCTGTCAGTCACACTGACTCCTTAGCAGATGTTCTGCACTAAATTCTCCTGTTGGCCTAAGCGTTCTTTTTTGTGTGTGATCCAACTGGTTACAGTACTGGTTTAGCATATTACTTACAATGTTGCTTCTAGTGAGCATTGCAGACCTCACAGAAAACAAATAAATAGTAAGTAAGTGTACACTGAATTGATAGATTTTCAGTATCAAAAGTGTACAGGGTTCTTAAGTAGGGGGCTTTTCAGTTCCTAAAAATAAAGAGTAGAAGTGGTTAGTCCTCCAGAAAAGTTAGGCGTATACAGTGTGTTTTCAGTTGCAGTAGGAGCAGCCATTTTTCCCCACTGTGCACCAAATGCCATAAGATATTGTAAGCATATTTTAGAGCATTTTTCTGTTTAAGATGATGGGTCTTCAAATAAGAAAGAAATTAGAAAAAAAGTGGCCACTACTATTTATTTTAACAAATTTCAAAACTGTCAGCACATGCTAATGCTTTGAGACACATTTCTCTTCATAAACTAGCAATTTCCATGCCTTTAAGTGGTGAAGTTTTCTCATCATGTGTCAACTTGTTCTGTTAAAGATGCTTTGCTAATTTTTACTTTGCCTTGAGACTATGGTTCATGTAACAACAAAAAAACATAAGCCATAGTAGTTGCTATCTGACAACTGTGACTGCCACGTGCATTGCTGTAAAATGTAGCAGCCACCAGGTACATAATGAGATAGAAACTACCGTGTCGGATTAAAAAGATAGTTGCATCACACCACAGCTCCTAATGCTATGGGTACACACCAACAACCCCATCTGTTTCAGCCTTATGAGTTTACAGGGCACACGTGATTAGCACACATTAAAGCTTCTGTTACTGAGTCACCATTTTAAATGGCGATTACAATTGATGTAGTCCAAGGGAAAAAAAAAGAAAAACAAACACAACAACACAACAACAACAAAAAACCCCCAACAAAACAAAACACACTGTATTACAATGACATCTTCACTATCTGCCCCAGTTTTCACTGATAACTGTCTATGCTGAGGAGTGGTAGGAAAAAATAGCCACCGCAGTAATGACAACTAGAACAAGTAGGGATCAGGCAGCCATCAACCCCCCCCCAGGTGGATTTTGTGGAAGTCAAGCTTCTCTGTGGGAATCACAGAATATTAGGGATTAGAAGGGACCTCAAAAGATCATCTAGTCCAATCCCCCTGCCAGAGCAGGAACCTAAACGAAATTACACAGGAAGGCGTCCAGGCGGGTCTTGAATGTCTCCAGAGGAGACTCCACAACCTCCCTGGGCAGCCTGTTCCAGTGCTCTGTCACCCTCACTGTAAAGAAGTTTTTTTTCTCAAGTTTAAGCGGAACCTCCTGTGTTCCAGCTTACACCCATTGCTCCTTGTCCTATCGTTGGGCATCACTGAGAAGAGCCTGGCTCCATCCTCCTGACGTTTGCCCTTAACATAGTTGTAAACATTAATGAGGTCTCCCCTCAGTCTCCTCTTCTCCAAGCTAAAGAGACCCAGCTCCCTCAGCCTTTCCTCATAAGGGAGATGCTCCACTGCCTTAATCATCTTGGTGGCTCTGTGCTGGACTCTCTCCAGCAGTTCCCTGTCCTTCCTGAACTGTGGGGCCCAGAACTGGACACAATAGTAAGACAAAAGAGTGCTTAGTAACACAGCATATGATTCAGAGGAAGAAGGTACATATGGAGGAAAGAAGATGATGGGGATTGAGGATTGTTTTTGTTCTTTTGGCTTTGCTGTGGTTTTGGGTTTTTTTTCCCCCTCTTATTTCAAAGCAAGCTACCACTGTAGACAACATGCAATAGCAATAGGGATGCTACTGTGTAAGGTAAGGCGACATCCAAAAAGGGCCTGGCAGACTAAGTTCCTAGACCTTAACATTGCAGTACACGAGTTTCTGAGTGTGTAGTACACCCCACAAGGTCACTGAATTGCATCGCCTGAAGCATAAGAGTACTTCGGACAGAAATAAATGGTGGAAAGTGCCCACTCTGAGAGGAGTGGACTGCAGCTGAATGAGCATAATTTTAGGTGTGCATTGAAACTAGTGAGCCAGTCTAAGAATTGGAGTATTTTGACACAGCATATGAAATGATTTGTTAATGCTAATAGTACCATACTCTGAGCACAGTCAGAAGACGAATTTGTAGTCACCCTAATGTTACTACAACAGCTACAGTCCCTACCAGTACTGATTGCTACCACGGCACGTTTCAGTAGGCTGTAAGCTACTTCCCCAGCAGAAGAGAGCCTCGCAGCACTACCGGCAGCCTGGCCTTGTAAGCTGAGTTTCGCCAGCAGCTCTTGCAAAGACAAATGGAGGAGTTTCCTCAGGGCAGACGGGGCGGGGGATCCCGAAACGCCCCTGCGAG